CAGTTTCGCGGTTTTTAAATATTTATTCCAATCATCACATGATTCGTAAAAAAAAATGTATCGTCGTCCCTCCTAGCAACTTTTTTTTGAAAATTTTTCGCGTTTAAAGGAGGCCAGACACCAAAAAAAAAGTTTTCCTGATATTTTGCATAGAGAACCCCCATGAGGGGTTGAACTCATGACAGGCAGCTCTGGTGTACAGCGCTGCTACCGGCTGAGCTACGGGGGTGCGAAGGCGCCTGACGACCGATGAGCGCGGCGCGATTTCGTCCCCCAAACTGTCCCCCGAAATTTTTGCTGTCTCGCCTCCTTTAACGGCATAATTTTTTTAGATACGTTATCAAAAATGAGAACCCAGTTAAATATTTTGAAACTTGAGTTGTTACTTTTTCAATTTCTAGAATTCTTGTTGAATTTTTTTTGTGTTTCAAAATTCCATTCAAAAAAATTTCAAATACAAAAAATTTAATCTCTGAACCTTCGATTTTACTCGTCTTTAAAAAATGAACCAAATATCATCTGATTTATTCAGATGTTGTAGAGTTGTATACTTCGTTTTTTCCCATTTCTCAAGGGATGTCCCCTCCGATAGAGTATCAAAAACATTATTGAATAATACATGGGTAGGTTCTTCTTCTTCTGCTGACTTCTTCTGCTGAGTCATTGAACCCTTCTTGAAGATGTCGTCATCGTTTTTTTAAGTGATGTCTTCTGGAGAATCTGAGAGTTTCTCCTTGACTGGAAAATTAAATTTTGATTTTTCAGATTTGAAATTGATTTTAATTTTGGATTTCTGAAGCTAATTTTTTAATTCTCGATTTTGGTTCAAATTGCCAGTTTGATGAAATTGGCGAATTTTCGAAAACATGCTAAATTTTAAAGCAAAATTGGAAAAAAGATCTTGTTGATTCAAATTTCAAGTGTAATGTTCGGAGCTTAAAGGGGGACTTCGGTCAATTTTTTTATTGCATCAAAATGTGTTAAAAGTAATCTATTTTCAGAATATTATTGCGAAAAAAAGGTGCCACCGAGAGACGAGGATTTTCAGTGAGAAAACAAGGCCACGCGAGCGGCGCGACTTCTTAAAGGGGGCCAGACAGCAAAAATTTCGTGGGCAATTTCAGGGGGCGTGCATTCTGACGTCGCGGTGTTCGCACCTAAAACACGCAATCCAACGCGCAAACATTTTTATTTTTTTATTTCCCGACTTTATTTTTTCAATTTTTAACTATTTTAAACATTAAAAAAGCTTTTTTTCTTATTTATTATAAAACCCATATAAAAGAGATTTTTTCATGTAAATTTCAAGTTCAATCGGCCGATTATTCTGCCAGTGACCGGTGTTTTCTATAGACATGTCGTATGCATGCGAAACAACTATTTTCTCTCCGATAACCGTTTCTTCACCGTTCCTAGTTATTTCTTCTCGTTGTTACTCTGGGAATAAAAAAAAAGTTTTATGACTGGGATTTTCAGAGACGACTCCTCATCTACTGCTATCTTCGCCTTCCGACGACGAACCATGCACGAGAATGTTTTTAATTCTGTGATTTTTTTCAATTGTTAGGTCACTTTCTAAGAATTGATTGTAGTTTTTTTTTTCATAATTTATTTGTTAACATAATGAAACACATATTTTTTCATTTTCAACTGATTTTGATATCACGGAGCTAGGCCTCGGCGGCGCGCTGGTAGCCCTTCAGAAATTCCGAGTTCAAAAAGTACAATCCCAAAGAAACAAGAGAAGAAAAAAATAAAAACACTAGCACTAGGGAAAAAAAAATAAAAACACTAGGGATTGAACCTCTGACCTTCCGAATACTAGCGTAGAGCGTACCCACAACACTACGCGTGTAAGGGATGAACACATCGTTTTTGTGTATTATGAAGCGACGCCGCAGCAGCAAGCGGGCGAAGAAAGGGTGACAAAAAAGAGCATTTTTTCGTCGGGGATGGTTTTTTCAGGTTTTGAAGTACATAGCTATATTTATACTTCAGAGTTACATCTTTTGATAAAAAAACAAAAATTTTGAAATTTTTGATGTCTCCCCCCCCCTTTAACGGGCAATTTTTCCGGAGTTTTTTCGCTTTTATCTCCGACATGTAAAAAACGTTAAAAAACACTGTCGGCCACTTGAAAATAATGCTATCAGGCGCCGTGGCCTAGTTTTCTCACTGCGCGGGAATTCAAATCCTCGTCCCTCGGCGGCACCTTTTTTGAATTTTTTCATTTTCAACGGCGTTTTTTGGGGATTTCGGATTTCTTTTGAATATTTTCACAATAATATTAGGAAAATAGATAACTTTTAACACATTTTAATACAATACAAATTTTTGCTCGGAGTCCCCCTTCAATGAAACGATATTGGTAAAATCCTTGAGATGCTTGAAAATTTTTGAAACAGAAACATTTTTTTGAAAAAAAAAATGTTTTTTCTTTAAATGTCAAACCACCAACAGATCCAAAAATAAGTGGTTTGAAAGTTTGAGTTCGCGGAAAACTACAAAGTTTTGTTCTCTCCAAAAAATTTTAAAAATCTGTTA